ATTCTTCTTCTGTATGAGATAAAAAATGATAAAGAAAATTTTTACTAGTTATTATATCGCTGCGTTCAATCTGTAAATTTAACACATGACGATGCTCATGCTCAGATGGATGTAAAATTACGTTCTTTAATCTGTCTCGGATTGAATGAACAAGTGCTTCATCTATGGTTAGAAGTTTTATGTTCGTGTGTAGAAGTAGTACAAAAGTGGTAAGTTTAAGCATATACTGGATTTATGTATTGTATAATAATATATAATCCCTGTCAGAACTGTGCAAAGGACTTTTAAAGCTCTAATGCAAAGATAAGGAGAAATTCTTTTATCTATTCATAAATTTAATGTCAAAGAAGTTCGATGAAAATTTAAAAATATTATAAAATATTACCAATGAAATTTATAAGTACAAATAGAAAATAGTTATATTTTCAATCGAAATTTTATGGTCTCTTAATAGCAGAGGACTTGATGTAATATATCCTTTGTATCTCCTTATTTGCACAGCTCTTTTTTTTTATTACAATATATAATAGTACATATAAATATTTAGGTATCAACCATGGAGCTTTATAAATAGTCCAGGTTGGGTGCAAATAAAATGTGAATTAAGAATATTAAGTCAATTCGCATTTAACTTGAATCCCGACTGGGAATTACCGCCCAAAAAGGAACAATCGCAGCCTTTAAAAGATGGAGTTCGTGATATGCTAGTCAAACATCATTTATTCAGTTGGGATCTTTAGCACATAAGATAATGTACAATTAACAAGACTATGCCACTTTTCCAGTTTTCGTCCAAAAACTTGAGATTTAGTTTTCCATTTCTAGTCTCTAATTTATTATCGTAAAAAAATAAAATTTATTAATATTTAAATTTTTATAAATGACAAGAAAGTTTTAACAATTCAAGAGATTTTCATCATTAAAAATTTTAAAATTTGATGCACGTTAATGACTAAGAATGATAATGTACAAATATTTAATCTCACTTTTATCATTATATTACAATTTACAAATGTTAAAGAAAGATTTATATTATTTAATCACACAAGCATATAGTGAATAACTATGATAGAAAAACTCTATTTATATGTTAGATCTTTTCTTCTTATATATATCTAACATCAGCAAAAAATATTTTAAGAAGCTTTTTAAAGTAATATTTGTCAAAATAATAATTTTAATAGTTGCAAAGAAAAATAAGATTATATCTATGAAACAGAAATAGAAAGTATTAGATAACCAAAGTTGTATTGTGTCTACTTGTGTATAAATGTCACTTCGTAATTATATATTTCTTTATAAAATATTAATTTTATATTTTTTTTCATAAGCAGAAGAAAAGTTGATAATCAACAAAAAGAATATAATATATAATATACATATAATATACATATAAATATATTATACAATCTCTGTAGATAAATATGTATAGAGAATATATATATTGTCATATCTTCAACCGTGATGGATGTTATATAGCGAATGTTATAATTCAAGAGATTTATTTTTAAGCAGTGCCTTTGATATAAAGATATAATTGAAATAGGCATATTTAAAAATCTTCAGTATTTACAATATAAATCTTCTATTTTCTTCCAGAGAAATATTGAATGTATAATTTATTTTAGAACATAATTATGTAACAATGTGGAATGTTATTCTTTGTATATTTTTTACTTAATCAACTTTATTTTACTTTTTTATCACAACATGGATCTTTAAAATTTTTATTAATGATTTTTGTACTAAGCAGTTCTTCCTCTTTAATATCCATAACTAACGATGGTTTTTCTAAAAACTTGTCTTTGTCAAATTTTAAGGGAGCATGCATAGCCTTGTACTTTTCAACAGTTAATGCATCAATATGCAAATCGTGTACGTCCATGATATCTTCTTCACATATTGATTTATCAGAGGAATCGATCTCGCATCTGCATGGACGTTTTTTGATATAAATAAAATGTAAATCCATAACATTGGTTCCAGTGATTCCTGTTTTGATTAAGTCCGCTCCTTTCTTAAAACGTGCATAAAAATTATACGTATCGTTTTCTTTTAAAGTATTTTCAGGTAACATGCGTTCTACTTCCATTATCTTTAATACTAAGGGATCGATATGTTCATTGATATCTCGAACAGACTTTTTCGTTGTGTTATCAAAGTTTCGTTCAACATCGGGTTCTGTTATAAATCCACTCATTTGCTGTATCGGAATTTTTCTGTCTGTCGTCAAGTCCTGCTCAGATAAAACCTGTGGATTCTTTTTAACAGCCATAGATTTAACTTTCGCATAAACATCATGTATTAAAGGTGCAATGGCAGGATAACCAAATGCACCTGCTGCATCAGTAGGACCATCTTGACCATCAGTACCTCCACTGAGCATCATCACATCGAACTCAACGAATCGCGGGTAACTCTTGATTTTCGCTAGCCAGTCCAATGAGAAACGTAAAGCCAACTCTTGATTTCTACCACCTTTTCCTCGACCTGTTACTACAACTGTAGGTTCTCCTCCACCGATCAAAACAATTCCATCAAGATTGCCAATAATATGTTTGAAGATTTTGTCGATTTTATCAATGGATAAGGGAAGTATTAGTGTAGTCCGTACTCTATCATAAAACTCTTTTCTTCCCAGTTTATTTAATAAGACAAGGCATATCAGGCTTGTTATGTGAACATATGCTAAACTAACATCCTGTACATTTCCTGTAACATCATCTCTTAATATTATTGGGGTCAATTTTTTACGTGAAACTTCAAGACTTGCGGCTTCAAGAGCCATTGTATTATTTCCTAGAATTATATTTGTCACATGTTTAAAGTTTTTAGCAGGATTTAACAATGGTTTGTCATTAAATGTTTCCTTGGACGTTACGACTGTTTTTAAATTACCTTCTAACGAATCATACAAATTATATTTTTTTAATACAGCAATAACATCTTCTGGCGCTTTGCTGCTATAAACAGTAGGACCACTAGCAATTAGATCTACAGGATCTCCGACGATATCGGATAATATTAGAGTAATAACAGATGCTGGATAGGCCATCCGTGCCAAACCACCACCCTTTACCAGAGAAAGTTTTTTCCTTACAGTGTTAAGTTCGGTGATGTCGGCACCTGCATTTTGGAGTTTTCTACAGAGTTCTATCTTGTCTTCCTGATTCAGGACGGGCCTCGGCATATATAACAACGCAGAACCTCCGCCCGATACCAATACTATGAGAGTATCTGCCTCTGTCAAGTTTTCAACCAGATCTATGATATCGTGCGTGGTGTCTAACGATCTGCTATCGGGTTGATTGTTGACAGCACCCTCGCGATAATCGATTTTACTGTCGTGTAACCTGGGGAAGCTAGACATATCTCCGGTAGTCCACATGGCATCTTTAGATACACTTGGGACACTGACTATACCCTTCCTCAGAACGTTACCGAGTATTCTCTCAAGTTCCACAGCCATTCCCATAACTGCCTTACCAAATCCAACGAGATAAACATTCTCTTTAAGCGGAAAGCTTTTTCCATCAACGTACAAGGCATTATCTTGTAATTTCACTCTCCGTCTTACAATCTCATTTGGTGACACCGCTTTCACGGCGGAGTGGAAAACATCTCTCAAGTCGGCTCTGGCCTCTGACAGAAATCTCGTGTCTGTTGTCATATCGCGATTCGATGTACGTGTGTACTTGAAAATTTTTGAGAGGTTAGGATGAAAAGTAACTGAACGACTGAAAAGTCAAAATAAACATAAACGAAAAAATTTAGTCTGACCTCTGATCACATTCGATCGCTGATGAAAAAAATCGAACTTGCCTGTACGAGATAAATCTACGAAATATTGTTCTTTGTCGCATTATAATCGATCATTAAACGCATCGACCGCAGTATGAAAGTCTCTTCTGTGAGATAGCACTGCGGTATCTTTCCATTTTTTTTCTTTATGTAGTTTTCATGCTACGTTCCATGTCACGTGTGACGAAACATTCAAATTGAACGTCCTGAGTTTTATGAGATACATGATTTTGCAATTTCGTACGAATTGCGCAATTATTCGTTATTTGCGATATATTTCGTAATGCCTAATCACAGCTAAATAACTACCAAACACATAAAAATATTTATCTTTGCATTGAATATTAAAATTCAACTTCTGAATCGAAATGCAGCAGTTGATATATTAATTTTACTTTCATGACTATTTTTTGTATCCGTTAGAAAAAGAAATATTGTCGACCTATAAATCGAGATTTCTGTAGAACTGTTGGAATTGATTAGCACTTGCTCTCTCTTTTCTTTTAGCAAATCGTAACGGCAACGAGTAACAAGAATGAGAAAATTTAATTTAATTTGTGATAAAATTAAAAAAGAAACCTATTTATATCATCTATATTTCTTGTAAACAATAATAAATTAAGTTTAACTATCTTTTACATTGAAATCAAAGGAAAAATATTAATAACGCATTTTTTCTCGCGTTTTTCTCAAAATATTTCTGATTGGTTGAATTAAGAGCAACAATTAGATTCCAATATTTTAAAACTTTGTATATACACAGAGAATATAACAAAATCTAACGAAACTTCAAATCATGGATACTATTTTCAAATTTTTTTTATATTTAAGAACGTTTTTAATTTCCTTTTATTTAGGAAATCAATTATTAAATTTAAATTTAGATATTTATACGTTAAATTCGACAAAAGTCATAGTCAATTTAAATTATATAAATGTATTTGTGTTATATAGAATGTAATTTTAAAGATGCGAAACCGAAGCGAGTCTACGTTTGAAATTCTTGTTGGCCCTGAAAAGGGCCGTTTATAATCGGAGCCAACTCCAATTTACTTGGAACTGGTGTACTTGGTTACTGCCTTTGTGCCTTCACTGACTGCGTGCTTCGCCAATTCACCCGGCAACAGGAGCCTGACAGCCGTCTGTATCTCCCGGGACGTGATAGTCGAGCGCTTGTTGTAATGCGCCAGTCTCGACGCTTCCGCGGCGATTCTTTCGAATACGTCGTTTACAAAGCTATTCATGATACTCATAGCTTTGCTGGAGATTCCGGTGTCCGGGTGTACTTGTTTCAGTACTTTGTAGATGTAAATGGCGTAACTTTCCTTCCTCTTCCTCTTCTTCTTCTTGTCGGTCTTGCTGATATTTTTTTGGGCCTTACCGGCCTTCTTCACGGCTTTGCCACTCGCTTTAGGGGGCATTTTCGTACAGTCGAAAGGCTAGTTGCGGATTGAACCACGATACAACGTCCTCGATGCGCACGAGAAAAGTGAGCTGTCGCGCCGGGAGAGCTACTGTATATATATCATTCGCGCCATCTACAACGTTCCAATGAAACGTCACGAAGATAATAGCGCGCGCCTGCAGAGGGCCGCGTGCTTTTATTGACGGCGGACAGCTGCCGTCGTGGAGTATAAAAGAAGCGGCGTGGTCGATGCGCCATCACAATTCTCTTGCTTCTCTCGAAGGAAGGAACTCCGTTAATCGTTAATCGAGCAACATGTCTGGTCGTGGAAAGGGTGGCAAAGTTAAGGGAAAGGCGAAGTCTCGTTCCAACAGGGCGGGACTGCAGTTCCCCGTGGGTCGTATCCACCGTTTGCTGAGGAAGGGAAATTACGCGGAGCGCGTTGGCGCCGGTGCACCGGTCTATTTGGCCGCGGTCATGGAATATCTTGCCGCTGAAGTGTTGGAGTTGGCCGGTAATGCCGCCCGTGACAACAAGAAGACTAGAATCATACCCCGTCATCTGCAACTCGCCATCCGCAATGACGAGGAGTTGAACAAGCTATTGTCTGGCGTGACCATTGCCCAAGGCGGTGTCCTACCGAACATCCAAGCCGTACTGTTGCCGAAGAAGACCGAAAAGAAAGCATAATTATAATTCAACCATCCATCACAAAAAATGGCCCTTTTCAGGGCCACAAAATTTTAAAACGAAGGAATGATCTTGTTGCGCATTTACACAAATACCTTGCTATGTATAATAAATGCTCATTGTTTTTCTTACAATATCATTAGCTCTCCGAAATACAACTGGGAATTTGAAAATCAAAGTGATTTTTCGATTTTGAATTATTCGATAAATGAAAAAGATGAGCTTTCCTTTAAAAAGAATTGTTGATGACTTGTCGACTAAGTGATGCCGTATTTATTTCGCCGTTTCATGTTTCGTATAGCGAAATCAAATTCAAGCTTTGGCCTCCAGCAATCCAATTATGCGAAGTTAGTTTTTATTAAAGTAAATGAATCATGTTTTTTGCAATTTTTAGCCTTTATTTTTATTTTGATATAATGTAAATAAAAATTTATTTTTATGTTACAATAAAAATTCAGACCAACAAATATTCAAAATAAAAGTTCTGCAGAGGATATTGTCTGACTTACGCAAACGGGCGTAAGATTTATACTAAAATACTGTTATTTTTTTGCAAAAAATTTTTTCCTGTAGAAGATTGAAAAATTAACAAGACCAGGATTCGAACTTGATCCTTCGTTTACGAACCGCGATTTTAGTCTGCATGACTTGATCATGACAACGACTTTCCACCAATAACTGTTTACATTCCGAATCATCACATTTACTTAAAAATTTCAGCCAATTAATTGCTTACATTCTTACTACCTTTTTTCCTATTTTCTATAAGCCAAAATTACTAATTTTCAAATTACCAAATAATTATAATTTTTGAAATCAGACATTAGATTATTTTTTCTCGTAAGTACCAATTTTGGATGAAAAGAAATTAATGAAATTAAAAGGATTTCTTTTATGCACATATATACAAAGAATATGAATTTTTATTACAGCATTGCATTCATTCTATCTCAAATTCGAATTTATATAAATAAAATTAAAAACGTTGTGGATTGTACAATTGTATTCTTGACTGTTGAAAAAATATACCACAATTTTTTAAATTTTTTAGTGCTCAAAAATTCTTTGAAAAACATAACTGCCTTCAATAACTTTGTTGTGTCTCGAAGGATTAATTTTTACAGAAGTAAATCATACAATCTTTCATATAAAATATTTTTAATATTGATTCTTGCAAATATATATTATATTTATATATAATGTCGATGATACATACAGCTACAAATTATTTCAAATCCTTTTAGCATAATGAAATGAAATGTGTAGAGTTGAAATGTATAAGATTAACATTTACGTAAATTTGTGTTATTATATACATTGTTTCAATCAGTACATTCTCTAAATTTTCGATGAATTATTGTAATTCTTGATATCTAACAAATTTGACATAGTATTATATGTTTTTATATCAAAGAGTTTAGATTTATGCATTAATCCATTTTTATTATTTATCTATTTTTAATTAAGATAGACTTAATTTTTCGATGATAATGAAAAAGAAATAGATAAAGTAGAATTAATGGTGTAATTAGTTTAATATCTCTTAGTATCTCTTATTTATTAGTTTTTTTTAATAAATTTAAACACTCAACTTTTATTTGAAAAATATTAGTAGCTACAACAAGAGATTATTTTCTAATATTGAAAATCTCAGTTTTTATATCAGTGTTAATGTTAAATAATTATTTTTTTGTAAATATTGTATAATTTTGTTCATAAATTTAGCAGAGAAAATATAAAATAATTATGAGATATACTATAAAAATAAATATATTCAAATTAAAGCACATGAATGTGTTCTAATTATAATATAAATATTATTTTATTTCCCAACATTATCTTTGTTCTTATATTATAATTATCTATTTATAAGAATATAAGAATGATTTAACATGGAGCATTAATAAAGTTTTCTCAATTCTGAATATTATAATTCTGAATATCACGAAATGGCGTTGGAGAAGAACAAAAGTTCTCTCAATGTTCGACTGTTAAATATAACTACAAAATGCTATTTTTTATTAAATTACATTACAAATTTCTTTCTTCTTTTCAATAAATTTGAAATACCTATTTCATTTTGAATACAAATATACTAATTTAATTATACAAAACAAATTCAAAGAAACGTGATTGTTCCATATCAATCTTTTACATTGTATATCGAATGTAATATAGAATCATATAGAGAATAAGATATAAAATTTTATAGCACGTATGTTCATTTATATTAGATTTAGTTAAAAAATACGACTGTGATATTAACAATTACTCCAAAATTTGTTTGATGTAGAATAAAGCAATAGAATTTCACATGTTCTTAACGTATTTTTATGTTGAAATGAATTTTATTGAAACGTTAGGTTTAGTTTATTATTTATTATATTGCAAATTATTCTATATATATATTTGGAGACTTATGAATTCTGCAACTTGCTTTAGTTCAATGTAGAAAGTCTGGAGCAGCTGTCACTTCAGGCGCCAATGACGTTTGATTCGGTTTCCAGCCGCACAATCTGATTGGCTTTCGCTCGGCTACTCCGTTTTGTATATAAGGAACAGACATGGGACTGGAGAATCAATCGACGCTCAGACCTCGTTCCGTTCGTTGTGTTGAAAGCTAGTCCGATTTCATCATGCCACCGAAGGCCAGTGGTAAAGCGGTGAAGAAGGCGGGCAAGGCTCAAAAGAATATCAGCAAGACCGACAAGAAGAAGAGGAGGAAGAGGAAGGAAAGCTATGCTATCTACATCTATAAAGTGTTGAAGCAAGTGCATCCCGATACTGGTATTTCGAGCAAAGCCATGAGTATCATGAACAGCTTCGTTAACGATGTTTTCGAGAGAATTGCTGCCGAAGCGTCGAGGTTGGCGCATTACAACAAAAGATCGACGATCACGTCCCGTGAGATACAAACCGCAGTCAGGCTCCTTTTGCCTGGAGAATTGGCCAAGCACGCAGTCAGTGAGGGAACTAAAGCAGTGACCAAATATACTAGTTCCAAGTGAACATTTCATACATACGGATTGCGTATATACATAAATCGGCCCTTTTTAGGGCCAACATATCTCAAACATGGGAATTTCTTTCATATCTACGATATTTACGTTGCTAACATGTTATTTTTAATTACACATACATATAGTATTAAAATAAATCTTAGAGATATGAAATACATGATTACGAAAATTGAAATAATATCGATATCTGCTGTTAGTGATGAAGATAGAAGGTGTTTGTCTAGTTTATTTATCGTTATATAGGATTATTTGGAATAGATGTGTGTCCTTGGAATATTATTTCTGAATTCGTTCTGAAAGAATCTTTATCTTTGAATTTTTTCTGATGCTTGATTTTTTAAGATTCTGAAAAATACTTTATGAGTCAGATAAAGAAGATACAGGACAATTTATTCTACAACTTCATGGTGCTCGTTACATGCCATACGTCTATGCAAATACATACGTACACGGTTTTTTTTCTATAGAAAAGTTAAAACTTGTAAAAAGATTGAATCTTGATATGAATAAAATGCACGAGAATGTCCAGAATCTTGTTCTTTTCAGATGAATTTTTTGCACCGTATATCATTCTCTTTTTCTCTTTAAAGTGATAAAAAAAGGAAAGATAATACAAAAAAGTTTAGTTGAAAAAGAACAAGTCTCAGGTGCACGAGATAATGATAGACTATTTTTGAAATAATGCGTAAGCGATCTTGAGAGACAACTTGAGCGATCTCGAGGAACTACCTCGTTTAGCCAGCAAACTAGAATTTATAAAACTTTAGTTGATAAAAACCCAATGATTTCAGGATATCTTTTTAAACATTTTTCTTTTCACGAAAAAAATGCGTAATAATATTTAATTTTAATTAAAATTGCATTTTTATACTTACCATACGTGTTTTATTATAGAAAGTATAAAGTATTTGAAAAAAAAAGCAATTGAAAAATAATTTTGCAACAATATAAATGATACTATTGCGTCATGATTATATTATTTATGAAATATTTATAATAATAAATCATGACTCTATAACGCATTATTTCAATATTTATATAAACAATCATTTAATTTAATTTTAATATCGATACTCTTCAATTATCTTCAAGTTAGAAATACTGAAACTCCATCGTGAAGTTAGTAGTATGTATATGATTTTTCTTTAATACTAATAATAGATATAGTTAATACTGTATAATGATTTAATTCATTAAACGAGTTTTTTATGAGTGCAAGGTATAGGTGATCTAGTGTGTATCAGAAAGAAACCTGAGAGCGATCATGGCCATCGTTTTAACCGCAAAGCGATACGTCACATATACACGATCCACATGACACTAAATGGCGTCCATGCTTATTCTCAGGCTTCTTTCTGTGTATCTTTTTCGCTACTGTGCGAAAAGGCGGCAAAAAACCAAGAGATAACGCGCATATCTACACTTCTTCAAATTATTCGACACCCCAGGAATTCGGTTAATCAACATCGCTGTACCTGTTACTAATTTTTCCTGGAGCTGGGTTTTATGACATTTTTTGTTCTTCGGTGCCCATTTCGTGATTACGGAAATTTATCTAGGATTAATGAAATTTTTGGAATATCTAATGGAATTTTTAAATATCTCAGTGATATTGGACGAAAAATTCTGGACTAAAACAAAAATCGTCTCCGAATTAAGTCAAACATTTCAAGGATAAATGTTCAAATCATCCTGTATAATTTTAAATATTTGTTAGAATTTAGATTGATTCATTTTTATAGATATATATTTAATTGTAAATAAAATAGATATTCAGATCTTTAGAATCGTATTTTATGACTTATTAATATTTCTCTTTGAATCGTTTATAATAGATTGCTTTCATTATTCGTAATTATTATTGCATTATTTTGAAAATTTGAATAAAAGTTTTTGTGTTCATTTCTGACATATAGAAAATAAACTAAAAAAAGTGCTATTTAGACGATTTAGATAATTTAATATATAGATACGTAAAAAATTAAAGTTTTCATTTAAGTATTCATTTTAAATTCTTGAATTCTATTATAAAGATCGTTTCAATGCTTTACATCTGTACTTATTTCTGATCTCGTATTATTTGGAACTCCAGTTTTTGTATCATAAGAAATAACCTAAGAGCAATTGCTACAATGAGAGAAATCCTAAGTTTAAAATTTGTGGCCCTGAAAAGGGCCGATTGTATGAAGATAAAAAGTTGTCTACATTTAACCACCGAAGCCGTAGAGAGTTCTTCCTTGGCGCTTCAGGGCATAGACGACGTCCATGGCAGTCACAGTTTTTCTCTTCGCGTGCTCGGTGTAGGTTACCGCGTCACGAATAACGTTTTCTAAGAAGACCTTCAGTACACCACGTGTCTCCTCATAAATTAATCCGGAGATACGTTTGACTCCGCCACGACGTGCTAGACGACGGATGGCTGGCTTGGTAATACCCTGGATGTTATCGCGAAGTACTTTACGATGTCGCTTCGCTCCTCCTTTTCCCAATCCTTTTCCTCCCTTACCACGGCCAGTCATGATGATTTATTTCGCTCTCTATCGTCACGAATACACTGTTCGAAGAGACGAACGATTTTGGTAAAGAACGCCGAATACTGCCGGTTTTATTCCCTAACTGTGTCCACAATCCCCACCATGATAGTATCTGCCAATGAGAACGTTTCCCCCTACCCGTCAATGCAATAACGATTGCCAATAGGCATGTTCCATTTCATCCGACTACTCTCCCCGCTTTTGCAGTATTGACCAATCAAATGCGATATGTCAGGTAACACTGTATATAATACATTGACGCTCGAAAGAAGAACTCATTTCCGACAAGGAATTTTTCTGGATTCTTTGACGAACTGACAAATAACGATGGCACGTACCAAGCAGACCGCTCGCAAATCGACTGGCGGAAAGGCGCCTCGCAAACAACTGGCCACTAAAGCTGCAAGAAAAAGTGCCCCAGCTACTGGTGGCGTAAAGAAACCTCACCGTTACAGACCTGGCACTGTGGCCCTTCGAGAGATTCGTCGGTATCAAAAAAGTACGGAGTTGTTGATCCGTAAATTGCCGTTCCAACGACTCGTTCGTGAAATTGCTCAGGATTTTAAGACGGATCTTCGCTTCCAAAGTTCTGCTGTAATGGCACTTCAAGAAGCTAGCGAAGCGTATCTTGTGGGTCTCTTCGAAGATACAAATCTATGCGCTATTCATGCTAAGAGAGTTACTATTATGCCTAAAGATATCCAATTGGCACGTCGTATTCGTGGCGAGCGAGCTTAATCGCAAATTTTATAGAATTAACAATCGGCCCTTTTCAGGGCCAATATTCCTTCAAACGTATATGTCTCTCTTTACATTACATCTTTTATTACAATAGATTTTCATTTTAATACATTCTTTCAATTATTTTAAAGAGGTTACAATGTTTTCACGTTTAAATTATATTTGCATCAAAAAATATTGAAAGACAATATTGTACAATTTAAAGAAATGCCAATTTGTAAATTCAATTCTACTGTATTGGCTACATTAAATATTTATAAGGCTGACTTCTAGACATTTTATACATAATTGATATGTATATTTCATATCATTTATATATACATAATTCAACATAATGTAAATATTTTATCTATATAATATTTTAATTTCTTAAAATTATAATTTGGCTAAGTTATTTATGTATGCTTTAGCGACATATTTTTCAGTGAAGATAATCTTTATTATGTATCATAATCTTAAATATTCTTTTAAATCAATTTTTATAAAAGAAATTTAAAATTTACTAAAAATTAAAATAATATTCAAGAAAACTTTCACTTCAATTTTCGAAGATTTTAGTCAAATTCAATTTATTAGTTATATAGTTTATTAAAATATTAAAATATTAAATAATAATTAAAAAGAGAATTTTTCTTAATAGAATTATAATATTGAAGAAATCTTATTTCAATTTCCGAGAATCTTAATCATGTAATTTATTAATTATATTATCGAAATATTAAGTTTTAATTAAGGAAGGAATATTTTTCTAATTTAAAAAATCTCAAACTTAAAAGTAAAAATACGCAATATATTCATAAAAAATTTCTCGCAAAATTTATATAAAATAGTTTTATATATATATATATATTTTCCTAAGTTGATAAATAATATTTAAAATCTTTGTAAATGTGATAAAATATAAAAGTTTTCAAAGTTTTTTAAATAGGACATGGAAAAAATTTTTTGAACGTTTAAATCTTTTATCTTCGTGATAGATCTATTAAGATATTATAAAAATTAGATATTCGTATATTTGAAATTATAGATATAAATAATAATGCTTAAATTTTTATTAATATAAATTTATTATTTTAATAAATAATAAACTTATTTTTCTTAAACTTCTGTACATTTCAGAATTCATTTATATTCATTTATTCATTTTATGTTCTTATTTTTTATTATTATGTATCATACCAACACTTGAATATGAAATGGAGAAATTTGCTAAATGAAATTGTGTGATACATATTAATTTATTAATGTTTAAAAATCCTAAAACATAATAAATAGTACAAAGAAAACACGAATATGAAAATTATTTTTAACAATTGGAAAAACACATTTAATTTAATGTATTAAATCAAAACTGATTTTCGAAAGCTGTTATAAGCATTTAAGAATTGTAAACACAGCATTATTAAACTTATAGTTAATAAATTAACATAGTAATTAAATAACATAAATTTAAATGGCATCTTTATTATTTTTGTATCATTGACATTTTTATATCAAAATGTATCATTTTAACAACAAAAAATGATTATAATATACTTTCTATTGTGTGATATAAATTATTTAATAAATTAATTTAAACATTACATTATTAATCTAAAAACATTCTCTAAATTGTATTTGTTTTCTAAACGTTATTTGTATTTTAAGTAGTGAGGATGAGAAAACGTTAAATGCTAATATTTAAAAAAAAATAATGAAAACTGTTCAGTAACGTTTAGCCAATGGGAACTTCGCTCGTACCCTATTGGTTGAACGTGGCTAATACGGTTATGTATATAAGTACCTGCTGACGACTCCCCAGCTCAAAGCTGTACTGGCCGTTCTCCGGTTCGTGTCGTGTCTGCTGTCTCAAATCTTATCGCATCGTCAGGATGTCTGGTCGTGGCAAAGGTGGCAAGATAAAGGGCAAGGCGAAGAGTCGCTCTAACCGTGCTGGGTTACAGTTTCCCGTGGGCCGTATCCATCGACTACTGAGAAAGGGAAACTACGCCGAACGCGTAGGTGCCGGTGCTCCGGTTTATCTGGCCGCTGTGATGGAGTATCTTGCCGCCGAAGTGTTGGAGTTGGCTGGTAACGCGGCTCGTGACAACAAAAAGACGAGAATTATACCGAGGCACCTGCAACTCGCCATCCGCAATGACGAAGAATTGAACAAGCTGCTATCGGGTGTTACCATCGCTCAAGGTGGCGTGTTGCCCAACATTCAGGCAGTACTATTGCCGAAGAAAACAGAGAAGAAAGCATAAACTGATTATGACTGAGAGACAACAATCTTTGGTTTGCAACAATCGACATAACAATGGCCCTTTTCAGGGCCCCAAAGTATTCATACGATGGCACACTCTCGTTCGCTCGATATAAGACATCTAATCTCTTAATTTTTAATTCTTGTTATTGAAGTTGGGAAAAAGAATAAATATTAATATCAAAACACAATAGTTTATAAACATATTAGAACAGGTTTCGGAATTTGGGCTTGCAAATTCGCTGGCAATGGTGGCAGGATTCTGTTGAGATCATTGATAAAAGAATATATATTACATATATTATGTTATGGAAACAATATATCTCAATAGTCTAATCCATTACATTGGCTGGTTTTTCCAATGAAATTTTTTTAATGGAAGACTATTAAATAGTTATCAATTAGCAATGTATTATTGAGTGTTATCTGTTACAGGTTATTTACTAACTAATGTCATCAAAACTTTTGTAACCTATAATATAGAAGTAACAAATTTCATCCACAGGGGAATGACTGATTCGTCGTTTGGGCTTAATTTGTTTGAGAAGCCCGAGAGTGGTCATGGCCGCGTTTTAGCTGTAACTTTATTCGCGTAGATAATGTGCACAATTTTGTGGTCAATGCAATTCTGTGCACAATTGTGTGTTCCGTGCTAGACGCAAGAGTAATAAAGATGGACAGTCGTATCCATATCATCTTTATCACTCTTGCGTCTAGCACGGAAGAGAACTACAAAATTGTGTACATTACTCATTACCGCGAATAAGGTTATAGCTAAAACGCGGCCATGACCACTCTCAGGCTTCTCTTTGGCGTCTCTCTTCGCATTTCCAATGGAGAAATAAAAATAAAAAATAAAAACAGGAAAAATATTAAGATTTGGAAATAAAAATTAAGAACAGAGATTAAACGTGATGCAAAAAATAGACGCAAGTAAATAGAATATATAAGATACAACTATGTCTTGTCCATTTTTTGCGTTATGTTTGCGCTGCGTTCAGGGAAGAGAGGGGGTCAATCGTGTATTTTGAAACAAGATGGAAATTATAACAGTGAGGAAATTCACTAGAGTATTTGCAATTTCATATCAAAAACTAATAAGTTTATTTATAATTTTGATTTGTTTCAAAAATTGTTACACAATTGACCTTCAACAAAAGAACAATTTTGCTACGCGTGGCGCCCAATTGGTCAATTTAAAATAAAATTATTTTAAATGATTGGTTGATTCAGGAAAATCTCTAAGCATCGGTTGCTGTAAGTGGCTGTGTCCAATTGTAATATGATCAAACAAGACCAATCACAGACGGATGTGGGGAGAATACTTGATTGTGATTGGCTCATGCTTATGGTCACGCACCGACACACGACTCATTGTAAAACAGCCTTAATCTCAGTCCACAATAAATATTTAATCTTTAAACTGTAAGAAATTGACCAATCATAGTCGATTATTCTTTTCATATTCGATTATGATTGGTCAATTTCTTAATTCTTAATACTTAAATCATCTATTGTGGAGCGACACTAATCAAAAAACGCTTAATATCCCGGTTCGCGAGACAGACCGCTGTATTTTTTTGTCAGATTCTTTTATTTTGAGTGAAACCGCATCGATTGAGCCAATCGAAGATGAAGATCGTATTCTAAATAATTACCCTATTTTTTGTAGCTAAAAATTCGTATTTAATGTAAATTCATATTTACAAACTTTTGGTGTAGCCCACAGTGCAGAACACAAAATCAAAATATTTATGTCAACATGTATGGCCTATATAAATATCAAAAAGAATATGTTGTTCAAATACAAAATAAACATAATAATAAAGAATTGGTTGTACAAAGTGGTGAGTTATTAAGATTCTTAATTTATATAATAGTAATTTATATAATAAAGTTATTAAGATTTATAATTTATATAATAATTTTTAAATGCTAACAACTTTCAACTAAGTTTGAAAATTTTTTTCTAATGAATTAAATTAAAAAATTATAACTTAAATATTATAATTTGCAATTATATAAAAAAATGTTTTATTTAATATATTTAATATAATAGATTCTTTTCGATTGTATTACAAATTGTTTTTAGGAAAAGAATAAAAATAGTTCTTGATCCACAGATAATCGTGATATACTTGACAGCATAGCGAAAAACTTAAATTTGAAAATACCATTGGTGCAATTAAACAAAGATATTGGTGAGTTTTAATTTCTATTCACATAATAATAAGGAAATATATTCATGGCTTATTATAATATTCTTTCTTTTTTTAGTCGATAATGTTGATACACCTAAACATATTTTTGGAATGACAAATAATTTACAAATATTTTCTATTGAAGATATAATTAAGCAATCTGAGAGAAATATTAATAACAGTTTTAATCTAGATTGTAATGTAAATCCAATAATTTCATTTTCGTTAGAAGAATTGAATGATACAGATGTAGTAAATATTGATTTAAGTCAAGATATAGAAAGAGAAAACATAAGTAATAATATTGTATCTGATAAGTATTACAGTATTAATACTAATAATAGTACAGGAAATAAAGATAATAATTACCAAAATAATAACAGCACTGACAATATAAAATTACATGAAGATGTTAATATGGACTCAGAACTACTCTGTATAGATAACTTTGTCAGTAACGATAATACAAATGAGGATTCTAATAATTGCTATAATGAAAATTTGGAAGAAGAAGATAATATTCTTACGCAATCATCTTTGACAGAATCTAATAATACTATACAGAATAGCCTAGAGACTTGGTTAAATGTTTCTCAACAGAAAATTTGTGATGATACAAATTTACATGTTGACTATTCAAAATCTTACTCAGAGAAACGAAATTTTTGTTGTTATTGTAAGAAAATGCAATCAAAGATAAGCAGACATCTCGAAAACATACATAAAAAATGAAGAAGAAGTAAAAAAAATTTGCTTCATTACCAAAAGGTACAAATACTCTGCAAATATGTGCGTGTGTGTGCGTGTACGCGTATATATATATATATATATATATATATATATATATATATATATATATATATGATTGGACAAATATGTTTTTTGTGAGTTTATTATTAATTTTAACATATATCAATTCATTTATTAACAAGTTGTTCAGTTAACAATATTCGATCTCATTTGAACATTTATATCGATTTATTCAACGGATTTTTTTTATATGAATTATAATTTTAAAATTATTTGATTATTTGGATTTTATATAATATGTAGAATGAAAAAAAGGATGTGTATGCATGTACATATGCATGTACATATAAGTATATATGTATGTGTATTATTACAAACAAAAATGTATACTAATGTGAATATTTGTATTTAGGAAATAAATGAAAATGATTTGTATTTAGGAAATAAATGAGAATCATATGTGTCTTTGATTTTTTTGAACTTTTTCACGAAATTTATTTTAAACTGAAAATAAAATGTGAACTTTTATCTTTATTATAATTAAAATTATCATCTCATTAATCTTATTGGCCTCTCCTTTCGAACCATTCTGTAAAATATTGAATATTTATTAGTAAAACTATATGATGAAAATTATAGAATGTATTTGTATGCTTGGTATTTTTATTATGTTGTAAATTTAACACCGAGTCTTACCTTGTTTTAATAATTTTTTTATTTTTATCTTTTCTATTAGGTAATAAAGAGAGACAGAAAATTATTGAGAATCTTAGACGGAAAGGTAATTTCATATTCAATACCGATCCTGCATACAATACAGGAAAATTAATAGTTTGTAGACGACCGACAGAATCTACGAAAAAGACTGCATGTGATTTTATATGTTGTCCTGGATGTAAAGGCTTTTTCACTAAAAATAATTTACGTCATCATTTTAAAACATGTGTACAAAAGAGAGTTGGTCGATCAGCCCAAATACTTGGAAGAAAGATTCAAGGTCGAATTCACGAATGTGCAAATTCGACTTTAAGAAATATAGTATTTCCAACATTAAGGGAAGATGACATAACCAGATTAATTAGATATGATGGACTACTAATCACTTATGCAAATAAATTATGTATAAAATACAAACAACCTCAACAAAACAACATTATTTTGATACGATCTCGCTTAAGGCTACTAGGACGATTTTTACAGGCTCTTCGAAAAATTAATAAAAATGTGACGGATTTCTTCAGTCTTTATCATCCATCGGTATATGATGATTGTATCACCACTATAAATAAAATGGCAGACTTCAATAAAAGTGCAAAAATTTATGCAACTCCTTCTGTTGCATCATTACTTGGTATACTTTTAAAACAAATAGGGAATCTAAGTATCACTGAATGCATAAAACAAAACAGACTGGAAAAAAAACAAACGTAGAAAATTTTTTAAAATTACTACAAGATGATTTTGTGCCTATTAATAAAATTATTGAAAAATCTATGTTACAAGCTAAACACCGTCAAGTACAAGAATTACTTTCATTAGACGATATTAATTTATTGCATACTTTTTTACAAACTAATAGACGTTTAGCATTTGAACGACTCAATAATGTATTTACATATGATACTTGGCAAGAATTAGCACAATTTACTTTGATATCCATTCAAGTATTTAACAGACGAAGAGTTGATGAAATAGAACGTATGTCTATTAACGATTTTACGAATCGAGAAAATATAAACGGAACGAATCCAGATTTACTTTTATCAGATGAAGCTCGAAAAGTATGTTTTTAAATGTTTCAAGTGTCTCTATTTATTTTTGTATAAAGAAATCATAAAAGTTTCAAAATTATGGATTAGTGAAGAAAATATAATAAAAGACAAATATATCTAACTTCAGTAATAGTAGTAATTTTCTGAATATATGTCGCAGATTGATATAAAAAAATAAACGTACCAACTACATCAATGATTGTGTATTTTAGATGAAAAGAATAATTTAAAATAAGTTAAAAATAAATTAAATTCAACTTTTATTTTAAAAAATTTTAATAAAAAATTTCTTATAATGAATTTCTATTTGATATGACACAGTAATCATACAGTAAAAAATAGTTCTTTAGGAAAGACATTGAGATTAATTTGATATGACAAATGATATATTTAAAATTGTTAGAAATAATTTGATCCTAAAAAAAAATTTTTTTTTATTTTAAAAGTTAGTAGAATCTTAAAAATTTTTTAATTTTATATATATGTAACTTTTTAATTTTGAAAGCGAGTTTTTCAAAATAACATCTTGTATAAAGAGATTTTATATTTTTTTATTTCCTTTTTTTTACAAGAAATTACTCTGATCGAACTATAATTATTGAGTTATATTATTGTGTATTTTCTTTCTTCTAAGTAGTCTTTGATATGTATTTTTTATATTAATCAAAACATTCAATATGAGTTGATAATATATATATTCTGATTTTACCTGCTAATTAATTACATTTGATTTATATTTAATAATTTATTAATACAGTAATTTACTTGTGAAATTTATATTGTAGACAATATAAATTTAAGAAAAGTATAAGAAATTAAAGAAAAAGTATATTAAAATTAATATTAGTATAAAATTTAATTAAAGTATATTAATTTTAATTAAAGTCAGAAATTAGGAAGATCAATCTGCGAGTATTATTTAATATATATTAATATTGGTGACTATTATGTGTGAAAATAATATATAAAAACTTACATATTAATAAACACAATTATATGTTTCAGATAGCAGAAAAATATATAAGATTTCGTATCAGAGGAAAATTTGGAAAACCTGTATTTGTTGTTTTGGATCATGAGATAAAAAATTGTATAGATTTACTTCTACAATATCGCAAGAAAGCAAATATACCCGAGGAAAATCCATATATCTTTGCTCTACCAGGTTATAATAACAAAAAATTTAAATTTATAAAGGCATGCGACTTTTTATCTATATTACTCACTAGAATGCAAAGCAGGGATGCTACTTATAGATTACAAGATGCAAACTTTAGCAATCATATTGCAACAAGATGCGTTACATCGAATCTATCAGAACATGATATAACACAATTAGCAAATTATTTAGGGAATGAAGCTATTAACGAAATTATTCTTATGCAACTTTTTTGTCATTCTACGAATATTCCACGAATTGAAACATAGAGAATCGCAATAGATAGAAACGACAATGATAATTCATATACTAATCAACAGTGAGTACATGTATTTCAATATTTGTATGTGTCATAATCTTATATTATTTTTAATTGTATTTTTTAGATTTTATATTACGTATGTTTTTTGTAATAGATTTCAACTTTTTTATAGTATCGCTATATGATGCCACAAAAAGAGAAAAATGAATAGAAAAATGCAATATGATAATGACCTTTTTTTTTCTTTTTTTTTTTATTCGCTTTTCCGCGATGTCGATTGATTCTCTCGCTGCGTTAACTTCGTGAATAGCTGTCATTATATTAATCTCACAGAAGATCGTTTTGACAATTGTGTATCAAGAAATTAAAAATATTATAGTATAACAATAGTTAGTATTATAATAATATTATAATAGTATATAATATTATAATAGTATATAATATTATAATAGTATATAATAATATCATAATAGTATTATAATAGTATATAATAGTATTATAATAGTATTATATTAATTTTGCTCTTGTGTTGAAAAAGATAAGTAGAGTGCGTGCGCAGCACGCGTTTGTAATGTCTAATATACATAAAAGAACATCGTTTATCTTGAACAGAGCAAATAGAGATTAAAATGAGAAACGAATGTTGAATTGTCGCTCAATTTTATAAATTAAAAATTGGATATTTCAAATCTTCTAAAAGTCTGAGTCACTAATAGCAAAGACGATATTTTTAGAGAAATGGTATAGTTATATAATAATAATAATAATATATAATATTAAATATATAATCAATTTTCTAAAATCAAATAATATATTTTTACAGAAGTCATTGTCATAGAACACTATCATAGACTACTATACAGAGTGTTTCATAATTAATGTATTTATGATATATGATATATGATATATTGATTGTGCACAGGCAAAACAAATTAAACTAAACAAAAAATGATTTATTGTTTTGCTATTTTTATAAAATTAATTATGAGTTATTAATTAATAAATATCGCCGATAAAGGTAATCCATCCAGTGTTACGCGCGTTCGCGGTTGCTAAGTGCACAGCAAAATGTTTGGAAGTGTAATTTTTAAATGATAGAGCATCTGATTGTAATGCATCTCCAAACATCTCGCTGTGTTCTTATTCAACTCCAAATGCTTGTAATAGCTATGCTTGCTATGCTGGTCTTATCTCACCATGCTTGCATTTGCTGATGAACTAGATCATATGCGTTTATTTTTATTAATTAAGTTATTACTAATTGCGAAAATCGCAAAATAGCATGAGACTTTTCCATTCACATCCGCTCTACTTACATAAGCGATATGAAACATATTTTATATATTTATTTAATTACGATGTTTTTATATTCGTATGTTTTTTTTCTCTTTATATTGAAACAATTATTAAAATTTTTTTTTATAGAATGAAATTGTTTTAATTCTATATTTTTCTTCTTAAAAAATTTAGATTAAATATAAAAAAGTATAAATTTTTCACATTTTGTAATAAAAGATGTAATTTGTTAATTTATTATAGAATAAAGAACTCATAATAGAATAATATTTGATTACTGATAATATCGATCTAATAAGAATTTTTATTTTATTACGCACGCACGCACGCACACAAGAAAACAAACTTGAATATGTAAATATGTAAAAAATATATTTTACTTGTAATTGTCATTGTGTGTAATATATAGCAAATCGAATATTTTTTATTTGAGTTTTTATGTGTAGTCCAAGAGAACTTTTCACACAAATTATCTATTAAAAAATGTTTTAAAATATTTCTCATAGTCTTCTTGCATTTTCACCAAATTTTGTGATTTTATTTACCTATAAATTTACTTACAAAATGTAAATATTAAAAATGTTTATTACATTTATCAAATTATGTGTTGAATTATGAATTGGAAATTCAACCAAATGATAAACAAATTGAGGTCGAATTGATTGAATTAAATTGGTCTTAAAAACTTATAAAATGTTTCCTAATTTTTTTGTCTCTATAGAAATCTTAAAATAAATTCTTCAATTGTATTAAAAGATATATTAAATTGTCGTTCGATTATTTCTGTCATTCACAATATATTGTTTTTTTCGGGAGTCGTAATTACATTGATGAAAACTAATTTTCTTGATATATTTGATAATATTGTATAGATTGCATTTATAAAGTAATAATATTATTTTACATTATTGTAAAAGTGCATTTTTGTCTAGTCATTTATTATAGGAGAAACTCGAATATGTACATCTATTTAAGAAACAATAAATGAAATGAATATAATATCATGAACTAATTATCTGTTTTAACAGTTATGTAAATTTTTGTAAAATTTTTTTAATAGTATCTTGTCGATGTACAAGAAACATATTTATATGAGTAATTTGTATTTATATATGAGGGAGTAAGGACCATGGCATACAAAAAAACTTAAGCAATAAGGAAATCAACGTTGTACATTTGCTATTGCTTATGTTATTGCCTTATGTTCTCGATTATGATTTGCTGATTCGCTTACTGCTTAAGTTTTTTATGTACTATGGCCTTAATTTGTAACATATACATATATCATACACATTTCATATACATATATATTCGATAATTTTATATTATTACTTGGTACATAGTACTTTACAAATTTGTAAAAGATCGGACAGTATTATCTGCCTGGAATAAATTGTGTATTTCTTGATAAAGATTATAAAAGTTGAGCAATTCACTTATTTAACGATAATATTATAAATTGCAGTTTTTGTCAGAAAAAAATATCAAATAACTTAGAAGTCACAAGATTTGCATCTTTCTCTTCAAATATATATATATATATAATTTCTCTTCAGCAAAATTATTTCACATACGATTTAATATGCTTTGAATTGATCGCAGATTTGTTATTTCTCTTTCGAGATCTCCACCATTAGGTTTACTAAAAAGAGTTGTTAAACATTTCGAGATAACATCCTGACATTTTGTTATTATCTTTCTCCTACGGTAAAGAAAATTCTGAATTAGTATCAAATTTAACATAGTGATTTTGACTATGATTAAATACGAAAAATGTTTTATTTCTGTTTAAATTATTATTATTATTTCGATTTAAAACAACATTTCTTTATTTGGACAAAATTTTTTTTTCTTAGACTGAAGTACAGCAAAAATTTTATATTTTGATAATACTCACCTGACAAAACTATTCGTTAGTGTTTTATTTTTTATAAAATAATTTACTAAATTTGCTGTTGATTCAATTAGATGAAATTCGTTGCCTTCATTTAACCAAATACGAGTATTTTTTCCAATCATTCTGAAGATAATATATATAAAATATGATTATTTCATGATATTAGAATATAAAAATTTACATTTGTCATACTTACTTATCATAAATGTCCAAGAGATCTTCCATTGCTACTCCCAATTCTAAGAAAGATGTTATAATACTAGTATTAGTTACTTTATATTTACATGCCTTCATTTCCAATTGTTTTACCAGAAAATCTAAACACAAAGAAAGAATTTGTGAAAGATGTATATATCAATATAAAATTTAATATTAATATAAATTTTGATATGAAATATAATTACCAATAGGGAAACAATGGGGTGATCCAATATATTCTTGACCAAGTAATTTAATTTTACACATTAAAATGATCATTTTGTCTTCATTTGATGGTTCTGTTGCATTTTCTAATTCTACAATTAAGAATTCATTAAAAAACGAGAAAATGGTAACATTTGTATAAAAGAAATGTCATTCAATACCATTATCAATAATATTAGTCCAAATTCCTTTAATTAACATGTCATCTTGATGACCTGAGCAATGAATTATAGCCAGTTTGCATTCCCAAAGTTGTAAAGGTTCTGCATATTCTTCATACAACTATAATTAATATATTTAATTATTAATATATTAAAATATCAAAAATAGAATGTATTAATAAAATAAATATCTAAAATTACAAACCTGTGTAATATCGAGCAATGAAGAATTTAGTCTCAATTTTGCATCTGCAACTATTATTGAATCGAACAGATTTTGTTGATTGGTGATAATCTCAAGTATCTATTAAATATTGAGAAAGTAAAAACGATTATTAGTGAATATAACATTTCAAACTTATTTAGATATTAGAATGTATATGTGATACCAAATATTTACAGATAAATACAGAAACAGTTTACAATCTAGATTATTTTTCTAAATATTTCTATCTTCAAGATATATAATGATCTCAGACAATTGCAAGAGACATAATTTAGATAAGATCAAATCTTGTATATTGTATATCTATGAGAACAGTTTGGAATATGTACTTGTTGTTGCATTCTAGCTACTTCTAATTTATCTTCCAATTCACGTAAAAAGATTCCAAGATAAGGAGCATATCCAGTTTGATCACTTCGCATACATACAACTGCTCGTGCTAAATATTCAACTCGCTTTGCGAGTGATATCTCTGATCTATAAAAAATAATTTTTATATTTTTCAAACGATCATATATATTGTGCATATACATACCCGACTTTGCTAGCTAAAGAATCTAAGATTTTTGCCGCAGCTGCATGATTCTTATTTCTTTCGTAGAATTGCCAAAGTAACTCAGGTGCGTCGACGCGATTGAGGTAAGTTTCTAATGAAGGTGCAGCAAATGCAACTAATTCACCGTGAAGTCCTCGTTCTATCATCCAAGTGTAAATAGAAGAATGAAGAGTCTCACATGGTGCATGTAACGCATCGTCTATAATTTCATGTAACTAAAAAATATGTTAATGTATAATGTGCTATGTCAAACAAATAAATCTTATATTACATACTATTTCTTTCGCTGGCATTATTACAGTAGTTGACACAGTTTGTAAAGGAGGCCCCGGCTTGCTTGGTATAGTTGGTGTTAAAGGATTAGAAATACTCTGATGGTATAAGTGATCTAACATCGTAGTGAATTCCTTATAAATCTCTGATCTATTAATAATATAAAACTGGCATTATGTTGTTATTACCTGCGACTATCCACAAGAATATATACTATATTGTTGTTATATACCGTTTCGTAAAAGCCTGTTTTCCTTCTTGATCTTCTCTAGGTTCGTTGTTTTTGTAATAATGTGAGGCAGCATTGTTGGGATCTATTCTTTCTGCGCAACAGATACATAATTCAAGTACACCCGTGTAAAACTGGCATGCAACAAACTGTTGACATACTGCATTCAAGTTTAACCTGGGCGCCACCTCTTTACAAAGCTACGAATGTATTTAATAAACAAGTTAGATTAAACATTAACTTGCACAAATAATATAACTTACCGTTAAAGCGGATTGAAGATAACATTCTTTTTCCTCAGGATTTGTACATCCCTTTGCTTTTAAAAGAATTTCATTTGCCTAAATTTATAAAGATAATTATATTTAGATATAATTCTTATTTATAAGTTAAACTACAAAAAAAATATATTTATGTTACCTTAGAACAAACAGCATCTTCAGATCTATATAAATTGGGACAAACTTCTCTTAATTTTGCACTAACGGAATCCACTGATGCGTTGTCCCCAAGATAACTACAAGATATTATATATTAATTATAAATAACTAGAGTAATTTTAAAATTCATAAATTTACCTATCAATTAAATGAATGATAAGTAGAGAAGATATTTCATGGCCTATTAAAATTAAATCTCTGAAAGTAGCTGTAGAAAACTGGGTAATTTGATCCTGTAAAATATAATTTTTATATGAGCAATTTATTATGTAGAAAATTTTTATTTATGCTAATAAAAAATTTTTTCATAAAAAGCTTCATTTTTTTAACTAAAATTAGATAATCACTTTTGACAAACAGTTGACGATGTTATTTAGTTGATTTTCGCATAATATTTTCCATAAACCCAAAACCTCACATGCATGAGTAATGAAAACTTTTAAAGCATCCAATGAGTTTCTTTCTTCTACAATTGGTTCTTGAAAATGACTTTGAATCGTTGTTTCAAAACCATTTGTTAAACTTCTACTACTCGTACTTTGCCTGTAAAGATATATATATATATTCTTTTTAATTTATATTTTAATTTTATGATTGTATTTTTTTTTAAATTAATTTATTATGATCTAATAAAATTATCATTTATTATATCAAAGAATGTTTTAAACAATACGTACTGTTTTGTGATATGCGTATTTTTATTCAAAAAACATCTTAACGCTTGTAGATGACCTAAAATCCAAGCTATTTGCGTCGCTGGTACTACGCTAGATATCTGGAACATCAAATAATACTTATAAATATTAAAATTTCAAAAATTCAATTAATAATAATAAAGTTTTATCTCATATTTTCCACGTAAAATTTTAATTAATCCAGAAATATTTGTTAAAAGCTGTATATGTACACTCTTTATACTTACTACATTTTTGTTACATATTGTTTCCTGTTTTATACATCGTACATTCCATATAGGACGGAGTATTCTTCCTACATACAGATATAATCCGCTATGTTTTGCAGAAAAATGTTGCAAACCAATGTCTGTACTAAGACCCATTTGTGCTGGTGATCGGAAGGATTGAGTTCTAGAATCGAAGCTTGGTACTCTAGGCGTAGATGTGCGTAAATCTGCTATATTAAAATTTATTTCTAACATAAATTAGATGTGCGACATTTAAATTTTCAATTATACAATAATTTGAACATAATTTTGAACATAATTTTGAACATAATTTTGAATTGTACAATAATATTGAATAATAATATACCTGGAGTTATGGTAGGGAAACCGCTATGCACATCAATTGAAGGACCTATCCCTGTTATTCTTTGACCACCGTATAAGAAGAACGCACGAGTTGCCCATTCTGATAACTAACAATCATAAAGATGTTTGTGTTATTAATAGATAGTAACATATGTAATATGTTACATAATGAAATACATAACTATAAACAAAATTATATAAAAATATATATTTCTTTACCTGAGCATTCTGAGAACTTTCAAGCGTTGCCAAAATTAAGCACGTAGCACATGCTTGTTCTAGGGATTGTGATTGAAAATATGCGCGGACTACTTCAGTGTCAGGTCCCCGTTGTTCTAAGAGAAGTTGTTTCAATATATCTACAGGACGTACTTGCATTAGGATTATCGCTCCCTATAACAAAATAAACAGAAAAATAAATTATATATATATATATATGGAATCTCATGTTAAGTAACCTCACGTAGAAACGGTCATTGTTAACAAATATTAAATTCAATTTAAATTCTTATTCCACATATCTTGGTTTTAAAAAAGGACTATTAATAATGTTTCCTAAATAATAAAAAGTTAAAAATACTAATATACAAACATGAAACGTGAATGCGATAATACAAAAGAAAAGGAGAAACCATTGCAACACTTTATTTTTATTTTTCCGGAAACATTTTTCTCATAAAAATCCTAATTTTTAGCATTGCAAAATATAATTAAAATATATTTTATTAAAATATAATAAAAATATACCTGTGCTGTTAAAAATATAAATTTCCTTGGTGGTTCCATATGTTGACGCACTAATAAGGGAGGCTCACCCTGAGTACTACTTTGCTTTTCTATGTGTATAGCTGAATCTCTTATGATCTCTTCCATAGCCCAAGCTGGGCTATCAAGAGGTAAGATGCTCTGAGTTTCAGCCAAATAATTTGTGAATGGATAAGCATCATTACTCAAACACCATGCGGTTTCCGTATCACCACCGCAAACGAGAAAAAGAGTTCCTAAAAAAAATATTCCAATGTGATGAATTACATTCACATTATATACTATTCGTATTATTGTAGAAAAAAATAGTTTACCTTTTCGATAATATGCCATTTGTACTTTTCGTGGTCTCATTACTGGAGCATTTGCAGCATAACCTGGTGGTAGCCTGACATGTATCAATTGTAAACCTTGTGGTCTACATGATGGATTTGTAACTGAAGTGCAACTAAAGTAAAACCGAGTTCCTGTTGCTGCAACAACGACCAAATTCAGATGTACCGATTCGGATTCCATTATAGCTGATATGCTTACGAGAGGTCGAAAGTTGTTACTATCCAGAGTCCTAAAAGAGAAAAATTATATTAATTCAATTGTTAGTAAGTTATGCAATATTAATAAAAGATTACTTACTTAACAACATGTACAGTGTTTTGTACCAAAGAAGCTTGAGATAACGAAGTGATTTTAGATGCGCCATTATTATCAATATCCCAAACTGTAATCGTGCCTCTATCACCTAAAGTGTACAAAATATTACGCGAATCGTCCACAGATATTTGTATTATGGCTTCTTCTTCTGACAATGCCATAGTAACAAATGATGGCACTAGAAATGATAATGGACCTTCTGAATGATTAATCTTTTTACATCGTTTACCAAACCAGCTACTCTCTGCCTGCATGCAAAAGGATTCATTGATATAAAAATTGAGAAAAATAAAATCATTTAGTTTCTAAGATCTTGATTTAAAACTTGAAGGATTTCCAACCTGGTAATATATTTCAAATAGCGATCCATTTCTACCACCGAGAAAAATTCTGCCACTATTGGTATTAGCAATTGTAGTGATTCCTATCCCATCAGTAGTCACAGTAAAGATTGGTTCTGGGACTAACTGCATTTCTACAGATATACAAAGAAGCATAACAATTAAATTTAATTAAAGAATGATTATTAACAAACAAATAAATTGAATATAATTAGAAATTATTACCTCCCCCTTCATCAGGTATTGTAACACCAAGAATGGTTATTTCTACTGTAGTTGTAAGAATTAACAAATATTTTACATAACTTTGGAAGATTCCTGTCTTAGGTTTTACCAAACCTACACTTATAATAGTTTCATTTAAACCATCAAAGTAAGCGACATCAGACCTATATCATTTCAAAGTAAAAATTTTAATTTTATACATTTATAAAAAAAATCATCTTCATTAATAAAATTAAAAACATTAATACTTACTCATTTTCATATGACCACAAATAAATGTCGCTATCAATTGTGAGCCAAGCTTTTGAAATTTCAGTAAAAAGACCCATCATGCAATGGCATTGCATATCTATATTTTCATTAAGGGCCAGATAAGATGTTTTTCATTAATATTCATAAATCATCTGACATAGAAATATAATATCTTAATTCTTATCATTCAAAAAATACAAAGGATACGACCAAAGTGTTCCATTACTTCAGAAGGCAAAGGAATTTTACTATGTATCTTTATTTGGCTAATATTTGTTAAAGCCATTGATGCACCATTTAAATTAGGATAATCATGATCATCAAGACCACTAACAGTTGGTCCTCCTATAGGAAATATATTAATTATAATTAATTTATTCTCCAAATAACATTAATATTTTTCAGATTATATTTCTAGACATCACAAACTTATTAGATAAAATTCATAAATGTAAAGCTTACCTTGTACATTATATCGCATGAGATTAATTAAGGATGGAAAATTACTATCTGCAATAATATGTTTATCTACCATTTTTCCAGCCATCTCTAATGAGTCTAAGTGTATTTTTAATGGTTCCATTTCTGTAAGTGTGGTATTTCTCATTTTGTGAAAATATTACTGTAAAAGAAGACAAGATATAACTCAGTTTCGAGTAACATGGTAGATCTTAAGACATTAACTCATATCTTTTTTCAATTATTTTTGGTATCGAATAAACGTAAGAAAAATGTCATCACGTGCTTATTATCTTTAAATTGTAAAAACAAAGTAATTAAAAGATAGATTTTAACACAAGGCAATGAATGGTGTGTGATAACTAAAGTAAAGAGTGTTTTAAAGGGAAAAAAGACAAAGTATAGGTTAGATTGGAAAATGTGCACCTTTCGTTGAAATCAATAAATGCGATGTCTTTGAGAGCACATAATAATCCAAGATGAATTAATACAGTACGTATTCATACAAGATACTTACGGATTTGGTACAACTATTCCGATATAGATAGAGAAAAAATATCAAACATAACCCTAATACTTTTATTCGCGCCAGATCGGCACGTTCGAATCAACACAACGGCAACTAACGGTATTTACTCATAGCATTCTTATGCGCATGCGAAAACTCCATAATTGATTTATTCTTGAACCGCATTTTTTTGAACGTTTATAATGCAACATTACATTGCATTATTGAATGTATGGATTGTATTTATATTTTGAGGTAATTAATCCTCTATCAATAGGAAATTTGAAATCTCTCTTTGAATATGAATTTTAGGACAACTGATAGAGAAATAACAAGGTTTATCATTTCCATCTAAAAAACTTCTACAATGAAAAATTTGTTATTAAAAATTGCACAAATATATGAAAATGTTTTCAGATTTTTTATATAGTTCCATATAACAAAGTATAAATTATAGTGATTTTTAAAACTTAAAAGATTGTTAACAATTAATAAACTCAATGCTAGATGAATACAATATCCAACTCAAAAATTATGAGATTTTATAAAAAATAAAATAAGGATCTGCAGATATATCGATTTAATTAATTCAGCAGAGTAATATATCCCGTTTCATTATCATTAGCTTTCTAGAAAATGAGAAATAAGGAAAGAAAGATAAAGGATGATGGTGTAATTGTAAAAGATTTTATATAATCGAAGAAACCACACAGTCGAAATTTTTGTATAATTTTATATTTAAAAAATAATGTTGCTTGCTTTATTACAGCTCTGGTAAAGAGTAAATTTATATAATAATAAGACAGTCTGACATAATAATAATCATATCACATGTTTTTAATGAATAAACATTTTAAGAAAAAGTTAATAATTTTTATAATGGAATGCTAGATGAACACAATTATATTTCGATGTTATTGAAGAAATTATTTATTAAAAAGAAATTGTTTTAATGAAAAAATCTTGTATTATCATCCAAATTGTTTGATCAAATAAGACTTCTAGATATACGACATGTATAAATGTAATGAAAATATAATTAAGTGTGAGTTTATACAATGATAAAAAATAAATAACTCTTTACTTAATAAGAGAATGTCAAAAATATTTATAACTTGTATATTTAAATCATACTCTCCAATAACTCACCGCTGCTACTACTATTAGTCACAGAAGAATGTCTACTTAGTGGCGGCAATTCAAAATGCCATTTTGAATCTTTATCTGTATTAAAATCAGTTGTTTCATAATTTTGCAAAGGAGGTTTTGCTTTAATACCTAAAGTTGTAGGTCGATTAGCAGGATCCTTATCCAACATCATTTTGAGCAAATTGTACTACAAAACAGAATTTTATAATATCTAATATGTAACAATAATTCCCATTAATACATCATAAATATATATCAAATGTGACATAAAACATAGATTTATTTTTTTGATTGCCTTACCTCAGCCGGGTATTTTTCTGCGAAATTTTGCGGGAAAACGGATTTTTTTAGATTCGATAACTCTACTACTCTTTCCATGTCAGTAGAAAATGGTGTAAGGAGCTCAAAGAATATTATTCCTAAAGAATATATGTCCACTTTGTAGTTGTAAATTTGGCCATTCATTTGTTCAGGCGACATGTATAAATGCGTGCCGACACATGCAGTATGTAAGCTGTTTTTTAAAGAAATATTTTCGTTTTCAGCTTCAGGTGTATGAGACTTATCGTAACTCTCAGTCATTGCGGTCACAAGACCAAAATCGCCGATCTTTATTTTATCATCGTAAGCGAAAAAGATATTCGATGGCTAAAAAAATAAAATTTTGATTACAAAATGAATAGAATGTTATAAAGATATAGAATGTTATAAAGCAGAAGAATTTAACATATTATCGCACATTTAAGAACTTACTTTTAAGTCTCGATGAATTAATCCATGTAAATGCACATACTCTACAGCATCTACTATTTGTTGAAAAATATTTAGTACCCGAGGGAAATCTCTTGTTGATGTGTGTTGCTTTAGCCACTCTCTGAGACTGAGTCTTTGGCACAATTGCATTTGTATGTATAGGAACATTTTCGCTGACTTGTGAGTGTTTGGCTTCTTATTTAAATCTAAGGAAAGTGACTTTTGTCTTTTGCGGCTTTTGTTTTCTTTTTTATCGGTTGTAACATTATTATCAGTTTCTTCAAACACAATACTTTCAGATCGATCGATTTCATTAATTTCAGACCACTCTTTTTCATTTACATTGCTTGAAGTAGATAAGTTTGAATTATCGGTACTGCAAGTATTAATGTAAATAGCATTGTTGTCATATTGCTCCTCGTTCGATTTTTCAAATGTAATGTACGAGTCGTCGTTCATGTTTATGTTATCTAGTTCTAAAGCTTCACAGGCACTTTCTACAGAAGAAGGATCAGTTTGCGTAACATTAATATACACGGAATCATCAGGTTTTGTTTCGGTCTGAGTTTCTGAAAGATATTCAGATGATGAATATTTTAATTGATTAATCCATTGTTGATCATGCTCTTCTTGCCATCCAGGTGGAGGACATTCTAACCAGGCATTAAAGTATCTTACAATATTGTGATGATCCAACTTAGCTAATGCTTTTACTTCTCTCATGACGCGTTCTCTTGAATCTTGGCTGCAATATTTTTTTTATAAAAAAATTCCTAATTAAAATCTTATTAACATTACACACGATATATATTTGCAAATATATTAAATTTCGATAGAATCTTAAGAATATTACAGAAACTCATAGAAAACTGTAATATTATTGATTTAAGTAGTAAGATTGTATTGAGCACTTCAATATAATAAAAGTATAAAAAAATTATTTTATGGATTTATTATTTGGAGAAAGATAAATACAATATTGGTTACTGTTTCAATTTCATTTAAGAGTATATCAGTTATATAAACAAAATAAGTGAAAAAAATAATTAAGTACTAACCTATTTGGCAAAGCAATTCTTTTAATAGCATAATTGCAATCATCAATTTTATTTTTGGCTTCAAAGACCACACCATACCCTCCTTTTCCCAAGCAATCAACTGGTTCAAAATCCATTAAATAACGCGATTTAAAGTTATTTACATTTTCACCATCATCATTTGTTGAATCATTTTTTTCTATTTCCACGTGTCGTTCAACTATTAAAGGCTAAAACATCCACTTAATATAAAATGATATAAAAGGTAAAAAGTTAAAAAATTATAAAAATAGTAAAATAAAAAGAAAAATACAAATATGATATTAGTTTATCAATTTACTTACCGTAGGTATAGCATCTTTAACAACGGTTGTCAATGAATTTAGTATACGTGTTAATGAAAAATTTAATACAATGGCAGTTCCAAACGAGATGAATAAAACTTCTCTCCTAATAATATAACAATTAAACTTAATAAATAGTATTTAATAAAGAATAGATTTTATGTTTATAAATTAGGATTTTTAAAGAAATTTACCAGTAATACCAAAGAGATGTTCCATGAATGAATATTTTATTTTCATTTTCAGTATAATTTAATGTGGGTTTTTCCATGTCAGAAATACGCAGAATATTAGAATCATCATGGTTACATTGCTCTGTTGAATATAAATAAAAGCCATTACCTATAAAAAAATAATTCAATAAGTTCGTTCATATTTATAGTTCCACTCTATATTCTATCATAACTATATTTACAATCACATGTACTGATACTTTTAAAGACACATCTAAATATTATTTACCATTAATATATTCTGAATTATATAATACAGATAATGCAGTTGCACTCTGTGCTTCATTTGTTTCAATAATAGATACTTCATCATTGTTATTTTTATCTAGTAAAGTATTTATAACAGCAGTTACTGGAATTATATTAAAAGCATTAATAACCAATATCATAGCTTTGCAAATATAAAGTATAAAACAAAATGTAAGATGATTTAATAATATTAATAAATCATGTTCAGCAAAGAATTTAAGATGAAATAGAAAACAATAAATATAATATAAACGTTCTGCTCTGTGTGTGTGTGTGTGTGTGTGTGTGTGTGCGTGGTGCGTGCGTGCGTGCATGCGCGCGCATGTGAACGCGACTGTTGACTTACCAACTGCTGGATATGGTTGCCATCGATATCTTACTTGAATAAATTTAGAATCTAATAAATTTTTATGATTGTGTTTATGACCATGGTTTTCTTGCACATACAATTGTCTTTCGTGCATGCCTATATATAAACGTGGACTAACTGAAGAATATTCCGATCCCCAGACCCACTGAGAGCTATCGAATAAATCAATTTCTTTCAAAGAGTTTCCTGGAGTTACAGTTGCAGTGTCAGCTTTTGTATCTTCGCGCCATATGGTAACAATCGGAGAATCAAACTAATACATAAAAATTATTTTGCATATTAAAAATTATAATTATTGTATTAATTTATAATACAATATAATTATTGTACTAACCTTGTATTGCCATAACTTAACGGTAGGATTACTCTTATTGATAGCCCAAACCAAACCATCTGGAATAACCACTTTGATCTCTATATCTAGAGCAACATCTTTATTAGAACAATCTGCGGAAGATACTAGTTCTACATTATGTTGTCCAACGCTGAAGTTCCATCTTTAAACAATTATATTATTTATGCAATTTATTTTTTAAATAAAAATATAATTTAATAAAAATATAATTAATTTATACCTTTCATTACCTGTACGAGCTTCTACAGCTCGCACAGTTTGTTGATGACGTTGAATAATAAGTACATCTTGTTCCATATATCTTTGTTGATCTGTATCATTATTGCATCCAGAAACCCCACATTGATATAATATTTTTCCTGTATCGGCTAACACACCTATTTTTCAGAAAATACTATGTTTTTATATCATATTAATATCAAATTTAGATAAAAATTTTTCTAATTCTTAAAATCTAACTATTCTTATTTAAGGTTAAGATCAAGATTTGAAAAGATGAGATTTTTTTTTAAATATAGTAAAATTAACTAAGGAACATAATTTTATCATCTATTATCTTTTCTAAAGTCTGAGTCTAAGAGGTTTATAATATTTATTGATTTCTTAATACATTCATATAAAAAAATATAAAAAAATTAACTTAATAAAATGTTATAAAGAAATATTTAGCATAGGATGTTCTATGTTACAAAAAAAAAATTACCATAAGAATGTATCACTTTACCACCTGCAAAGACTAAATCATCAGAATAACGAAACGATGAATGTAATAATGTATCTGCTGTCACCGGCAGTGTTTCCAAATTTTCGCCATCAAATTTATATAAATCACCATCTAAAGATGGAATCAAACGTATCCATTGTCCATTATTGCCAAGCTGTAAATTAATGCCTTACATATTAATGCATAATTTACTTTACAAAATAATACATTATTTAAAAATGATCTATCTAGTATCTAATATCAAATATAATGCATATAGAAACTTGCTTACTTCTCTGCGATGAATATTGGAAGATAACATTGGTCCATCATTAAAATCCAAACTCCACAGTAAATCTCCATAGTTGCCAGCATCAATAGCTGATATTTTTCCATCTAATGTACTGACAAGCATCAAACTAGCAAAATAATGTAATAATATATAAACAAAAATTAAACAGATAAAATATTAAGATAACATAATCAATAAACCTTTCATAAAAAAATACATATTATACAGATTCAGTCATATATGTCAGGTACTAGCTAATAAAACTTAACAGAACTGAAAAGCATTATAAAAATTTATAAAAGTGAAAACATGATTATATTATTACTATGACAGAACACTTATCATTTTTTTATTCGATACTGAATCAGCAACAATAATTGGAAAAGTCACAAGAGATTAAAAGTATAGAATAGAATTTATCTACATTCATCTTCAGCCATATAGCCAAGAAGGAAACTTGATTTACAATAAAACTACTTATCCACATTCATCCCTCCACCTTATTATTTAGCTTATTCTATTCCTATTCTTACTCTAAGTTCTTTTACTTTATTTCTCTGGCTTTCATAAAAAAAATTCTACTTGTTTTTCCTATTTTACATTTAATACTTATTTACTTATTTAAACCTATCACATCCTTTTTACTTTTTTATCTACATTCTCTTTCTCTTTCCTTCCATATTTTCCTTAAAATATTCCCAATCTAATTCTTCCCCTCATATTCCCTTCAAGATTACTTCTTTGTTCTTGTCTGTCAATCTTTAATTCTTTGGTATTCTTTAACATAATGTTCTATTATCTTTTCCCTCTCCTCTCAGAAGACTTTCTTCTTCTAGTCAATATTTGCATTATCATTTCCTTTAAATTTCTATACAAGAGATTAAAAGTACTAAATGTCATTGCTGATTATACAGTAACCAGAAAACGATATTATGATTCTAACAAAAATAAATTAATATTTTATACAGATTCTATCTGATTTCTATCAACAATTTTCTATTAGATTTTCTATCAGCAAGTTTTGTATAGTTCTTATTAATAATTTGCTTTTAAATTATACAAATAGATTTTGTTTGGTTTCTATTGATGATTCAAGACATCTGATAAGAAAAGTTAGTATATATTACAAATCTAGTCTTCTATTAATTTATTAAATTCTATCAGAATTTTATCTATTACATTTCTTTACATGTTTGTCGATATATATATTTAATTCTATATCAATTCTATTGTCATTTTACTGATAAAATGTGTAACAGATGCTTTGCAAAATCTATTTTTAACAAGTTTGGCTATCTGGATTAGGACATATATTAGACGTCTCTCATTGTTTCAATATCTTCTATGTCATATCCAGAAATTTCTAGAATTTATATTTTCAAAAACATGTTCTTACAATGTGTTTATTCTTACACGCTGGATATTTTTAAAGCCCTCTCAGGAACAAGTTGGAGCAAGTTTAATGATGAAAAATTAATAAATGTTTAATAAAATGTTTATTTGATTTATCACATCAGGTGATTTATCGGGGGTTTTTTAGTTATACATAAAATAATGCAAGATGTTTCGAAGAAATCGTTCGAAATCATGGAAAGAAACAATGCAGAAAAGAAGTCATTTGCGTTTGGCGGGAAACAATAGGACTGTCGATTACCTGCGTATATTCTTTGATTGTTCGCCGCATAATGATAGTTTTATCGTATCCTCAGCGGAGCCGAGCGAGCATGTAAATGCGAATAACACTGTGCAGTAGAAACATATTTGCCATAAACGAGACATTTTTCATTTACAAAGTTGCACAGCATAATTCACACGTAGCATTCTGCTGCAGGTGTTTCGATTATAGTTAGGTTTTATTGTGACGTTTGTTTGTTTTATTGTGACGATTATTTTACTTCTTGTTTCCAAAATAGATTTTTAGTCCACTAGAGTGATTTACAGTATCCCGTTTTGTATTATTACTTGGTATATGAGATCAATTGACAAAGGACCGCAACGTAATACTCCGATATTGTTCGACACATTCAATTGACGTTGGATGATCGAATTACTGAATTTTCCTCGTGAAAACGACGTTTGGACAAAGTACAATCGCAACGCTACCTAAGAAACTGCGACAGCCAATCATCGAACGTTCTTTAATCTTCTGATCTTTTCCTGTAGCTGCATTCACATTAGAGGTTTTTTTTCAATATGAAAGAGGAAAAAAGATGATCGCAAGAGAAGTTTAGTTAAAGAGAAGCAGATCTTCCTTGATAGAAATATTTTATAAAATTCAATTTTGACTTCATTTATCATTTCAAAATTTTTTATTATTTTTTAACAGTTTAGCACATTAAACACATTTAACACATTAATTTTTCTTATATTTCACAGTATTACATTAAATTTTATAAGGAAAATTAAGATTAATTTTCAAATATATTCAATAATTTTTCAATAATTTTCATTTTATTTTCTTTTTATTGATTTTATAATTTTTACACTTGTTTTACACTTGTATTACACTTGTTCTTATGAAACTTAATGTAATATACTATAAAATACAAGGCAAGTTAAAGAATATTATTATACTTTTTGAAATATTATATATCATGAAATTTATATTAAAAATTATTGTTTGATAGAAGAAAATGAAATAGAATCAATTGAAGGAGAATTTCAGCAAAATATTTCTATAATCTTGTGTCCATGATACTAGAAATCGATCCGAGATCTCGGACAGAAAGAAAATTGACCAATTGCATTTGAATAATTCGGCCAATTAACCAATGCGATTGGTCAATTCTCTTTCCGAGATTTCGGACCGATTTTTAACATCGTGGTTTAACACAAGGTTTATCAGGGTTGAGCATAGAAAAATAAAATATGTGATATGTTCCTCTTAGTTGAATTTCTTGCACTATTTATCTTCCTTTTTTTTTCTCCAAAAAAAAAATATTAAAAAAAGATGAATCGTGCAAGAAGTTCAGCTAAAAGGAACAAGTAAAAACAAGATATTTCATTCATTTTATTTGGAATTTTATTCAAAACAATTTCGAAATCTCATTTCGTCTGAAATCAAATCGAAGTTACAAAAAAAGAGAAAAAAGAGAAAACGTTTATATGAGGTTCACCGTTTCACCGACGGATGTCGCGTGGACATCGGATATTGAAGTATGACGACGACGGATGGCGCCACAATAAAAATTTTGCAGTCGCCTGCGTGAAGCGAGATCGAGCAAAATTGCAAACGTCAGCTTCGTCAGAGCAATGTCAGAGGCTCTGTAACGCTCGCACGATCGCGCGGCGATTGCACGAGGCTTCCACAGTGAAATCCACGAGATTCGGACCGGCCTGGAAAAAAAAAATAGTCGCGGTCGTGACTCACTTCCGCTTTCTACGTCACCGTTGGCGAGGTTCGTTCGCTCGCTCGCTACGCGACACAAGCCTGTAGCTTGTCTGGGCACCGTCTGGTGATACGTGGATCACGCGTGACGTTGCTGTCCGTCATATTTCCTTCTCGTAGCTGCCGCGCCCGTTGCTGGGAAGGAGCATCCGACGATGGTGAGTACCCAGAAGCGCGTCGACCGTCGAGTCGCCGCCAAGCTGGCACGACGAGCATGCGTCTAAACGAGTCCACTACGTGCGTATGTTCGCAGGCGTCTTACTCCGAGGATCAGCTGGCCGGTAAGTGGAGGGCGACTGTGTAACAGTCATGCAGTGGGACCGAGAGAGATTACGCGAACGAGTGAGGGAGCGAGGCGACCGATGGTCCACGCCGCGCCGCGCTCTTCTCCCCGGACTTTTAATTCAGGTCAAGAGTATCCTCGCCTTTTTAGACGCACCCGCAGCTTACCCCCGCGCGCGCGCGCGCCCGCCTATCGAGGACTGCCTTTTATGGCCCGGTATTTGAAAGCAAGCTGCCACAGCCGCAGGCATTGTGGAAGATTTAATCGTGCTCCCATCTCTCTGCCGATTATTCTTGTTTCATTTTCGCGAGTGTGCGTCGTCGACGCGAAACACATTTAAGAATTGACGGGACATTCCCAGTATTCTGTCATTATCGCGTGTTGCAGCAGCTGCTGAGTGATAAGTCTTATCTCTCCCCACAAAAGTACAGGATGTATGGCTATAGCTATCAGGAGTTGGCTAATAGAATGATGTCATCCATGGAGGGTAAACATTCCTATTGTTGGATGACATCTTGTGCCTTAAAGAATTTAATTATAATTCATTCTGGAAAGTCATAACAAGAACAAACAATTTTTTAATTCAATCAAACAATTTTTATTCTGTTAATCTCTTTTTTAATATATTGATTGCCACAATATTACAAAGCGCTTTATTGCAAAGGGGATATGACTCGCTGTACATGAGTCAGAATGATAGCCAATATCTTAACTTTCATTGTCACTCTTACTTTCTTTGTCTTTAAAATCCTGTCTATAAAATCATTTATATATATAAAAATTAAGTGCCAAGTGATTAAAAGTTAATGTGTTGTAGAATTCCAGGAGGCGTTCCAATTGTTTGACAGTCGCGGAGATGGAAAGATCCATGTTTCCCAAATTGGAGATGCATTGCGTGCTCTCGGTCAAAATCCAACCGAATCAGACGTGAAAAAGTTTACTCACCAACATAAACCGGACGAACGTATTAGTTTCGAGGTGTTTCTGCCAATTTACCAAGCAATCAGTAAATCTCGTACTTCTGATACAGCAGATGATTTTATCGAGGGTTTGCGTCATTTTGATAAGGACGGAAACGGCTTTATATCTTCCGCGGAGTTGCGACACCTTTTGACAACGCTCGGTATGTATTAAATGCATTCTTTTTTTGGCTTCTTTTTAAAAGTTATATACAGAGTTTTTATCGTGTCTCGTATCTTTCTAGGTGAGAAACTCAGCGACGAAGAAGTGGAAACGTTATTGGCGGGTCACGAAGATTCACAGGGTAATATTAATTACGAAGATTTTGTCCGCCAGGTGATGTGCGGCTAAGTAGCTACTTAATCCTGTATAAGAGAGTATTATTATCATCATTTACTTTGCCACTTATTCATCGAATCTGTTGAAATCTGTTTTACTTTTGAAGTATCATATCATAGCATGTGTACCTACATGGCAATTTATCTCGAGGGAACCCCGACGTGAACACTATTTTATTACATACTGCGGGAAGGCGGTTAGTCCCTTTTATATAAGAAAATCTAAATTAGTTAAACAATGGTAGGTAAAGAACAATCTAGCGCATTGTGCCTTGACGTATACTCCGATTTACGAGCATTTAGTGATATCGAGATAGTAAGACATACATACCTGTTGTGCGATCCTCAGCGAGATATCTGAATTCCGCGGACACATTCCAAATTTTTGTAAGATAGACTTGAAGAACAAAGGATCTTCTGACTTTCGCGGCGAGAACCGAGCACATTTTGATTTACGCCACACTTAACATGGCCATGTACTTTTCTCTCTTTTTCCTCTATCGGATTCAATATATCATCTACGTAGTTAGAAACATACATTCGAGAATCTTCCATTTATACTGTTACATGTCCTAGAAAGAAAAAGTGCGCGGAGAGTATCCACTTTATTTATTTATGCATGAGCGTATTTATGTCTCCGAAATGCGCAAAAAAAGATTATTGTACATTGCAATCAATAAAAAAATATTGCTCTAAGAATTGTCTGTGAAACTTTATCGTGATGATGTTTCGTAAATAAGATAAAGGCGCAGTTTTTGGGCGATGATCATTGAATATAATCGATCGAAATTTATCAGTTGCAAAAAGTTTTACAGGTGTTCTATTGCAAATGTCTTCCTCGCTAATTTGATGAGTGAGCATTCTTTTTTTTTTTTTTCATTTTTTTAGCTAAATTGGTACATTTATATATTGGTATTGAAAATAGATACATGAAGTTTAATAAAAGTGAGAAAGAGAATTCCAGTGAAACAATAAAAAGCAAGTCTTCGAAGGTAATCGAGATTGGGCCATCAATTCAAATCACGAAGGACCATCGCACTCGATTTTCGAATTGTCCCGTTCGAAAGTCCACGAGCGGCGCATGTGCGTACACAGTGGCGCGGCGGGGGGGGGGGAGGCTTATCGGGCATTTGATTCGCGGGTGACTCTGGCTCGACGTCACGTGGCAAGCTGTAACGCTGTACATCGTGAAGTCGACCGCGGCTCCAGGCGGTTGAAGCGTTGAAGGGGCAGTGTCGCTTCGAACATTGCTGAGTGAGGGTCGTCGATCTCGTACACTCTGGGGTAGTATCGTAAGCCGCCGCAATCAGTTCCCGTCGCCGTCGCCGATCGCTACTCCAGCGAACATTTCGTGTTGGAGCAGTGCATTTAAAAGCCGCCAAAATTTTACGAAGAAAGAAGTATGAGTATTAACTCCAGTCTGTCGTTAAGTAATAGTGAAAGTAGTAAAAAGCCGATAATGCCGAGTTTAATTTCCAGTAATTGGTGAGTAGCCGAGTGTGATAACTGCGCCATTTTTGCCCTCGCCTTCCCTGCGAGTCGCCATCTTGCATGTCGCGTCCTGATCCGTGTTTTCGTCTTTCTTTTTTTTTTGGTTTTTTTCCATCAATCCCCTTTCGTCATCGCGTCTCTTTCTCTCTTCCCCTTCCTCTCTCCTCTCTGCCAACCTGTTTATAAACTACAGTTCTTTTGTGCTGTACGATCATTATCTTTATTATGCTGTCTTTGGTCGAGCGGATCGAAATACGACACGGTTTGCGTTAGACGATTCAGCATTGTCGATCACGAATCGTTATCGAATCACCGGGAAGAATGCGTGGCCCCTGGACGCGGGACTTGTCACTCGAGCCGGAGCCGCGCATCCGATAGCGGGGTGTCCCTTGAGAGAAACGGGACACGTGGAATCGTTCGCGATTCCGCGCATCGCGTCGATCCGCGGGGTGTCGATTTTCTGTCGCGCGGCCACGTGACGGATCCGCTTGTGTGCGAAAATCCATTCCACGCATTACGTATATACACTTGTCAGCGGGGTCATCAGCTGTTCCGTTAGACGATCGGTCAGACGGCCGAACTTTTCCACAACCTCCCCCCCGCCCCTCGGAATGAATCTCGTGCTCCTAAATGTTTGCGATATCTCGAATATTTTTTTTTGTAGCGCGAATAACGACCACTACGATGTCGATGTTAATCAGGCTAGCGCCAATACAAGATGGCTTATCGGTCAAGCGATAATCAAAGCACTCTTCGCCGACCCATTTTATCAAGCACCTTCGGAATGTCGTATCGCGCCGACATAATGAATTAAGAAAGGCATGGTTCTCATTTTGGGAATGCTCGCGTAGACAAAACGAAAGCACGTGACGTTTGAGAGAGCGTACTATTTTGTCAGCAGCCATTTAAAACTTTCTATATCCTCCCAACGTGTGGGATAACGGAACGAACGACTCTTAATTACGTTTTACTTTGAAAGAGGCCCACGAGACGGAAATTTTTCTTCGACCTGGGAATGCTTTAGTTTCGTTCCTCTTTCTTTCACGATTCCTTACTTCCGTTCACGATTAGTTTTGTTTCTCTTTACTTCTGTTACCCGACGATACGACGATCTACCTTGTAATTATGCCAACGCGGAATTATAAAGCTCTTTTTACTGAACTTATATTGTTCATCTTTCCTCTTTTTCTCTCTATCTTTATATGTATGTTCACCTAAGTGTCGGTCCACAATAGGTGATTTAAGTATTAAGAAGTAAGAAATTGACCAATTATAATCGAATATGAAAAAAATACTCGACTATGATTGGTTAATTTCTTACGGCTTAAAGATTAAATATTTATTGTGGACCGACACTAAAGAGAACAGAGTTGTACTCGAAAATGTTGAAGTACACGTGTTAGACAATAAAGATTACGATTATTTTGCACCATCACGCTGCTTATCAGTTGTTTAATCGGATCACCTTTTTCCTAAAGAAAAATGAATGAGAGTGTCGATAATAAAGCATTCAATCCGCGCGTATTTTATATATATTTATTGGTTTATTATTTATTTCAGCGAAGCACAATTCCTTAATTCGTTACTTCAATTATTTTATGTACGATTTGTTCGCTGTATAGTAATTATCGCTGTGATTATTCAGGTGTGAACCAGAAGCACTTTTAAACCATCTGTATTCATCATGACCACCTGCCTGCTGTTTGCCACAGCAGGACTCATGCTGCTGGTTATAAACGAGCTCTGTCATAATAATAGCTCTCAGAAACTCACATCGAGTCATATTGATCCGGGTTAATAAAAAAAATATTTTGAAACGTGTGTTATTGTTGAAGTTGTGATAAGAGATATATTATCTGCGATCTCAAATGTATTAATTTTGCATTGTCAATATTACTCTGAAGCCCGAAAATTTAAAAAATTTCAGATTTAGATTCATATTGATTCGAGGTGAGCACGTAATTAAAGGTTTAAACTAGGTTAAACTCTAGGTGAGTCTCTGAAGGTTAACCATAATTAGGCGTGATGTAACGAATTCTTCCCAGTATTTGTGCGGAAAAACAGATATACGCGTGTTCGCAGTTACATCCGGTCTGAATTTTTCCAGTGGCTTTAACTCGTGCCTCCTTTCCCTTCTCCCTCTGTATAAATCAGGGATGGCCAACTCGCGGCACGTATGCTATTTGCATGCCTAAAGAAGCATACATTGACACAAGAAAAATTAAAAAATCAG